GGAGGACTCGGAGGGACTTGTGAGCAAGGGATTCTTCCCACTCACTTCACTTAATCTTGCAAACCAAAGCACTAATGGGCAGGGTGGTCCGAGCTGGACAAGCGCGGGTAGCTTGCCAGACCAGGCTCTTAAATGGCAAGATTTTAGCTGGTTAAACTCCAGACAGTATCCACAGTGTGCATAATCTAGGGGTCTGCAAATGATGGCTCCTTTGCGAGCAGTGACGATTCCAAATAGTTGGTTTTTTTTTTCATAAGCAATATAAGAAGTACTTTTTTTTTGATCGACAATTTATGCCTAACACTCTCCAGAATTAGGTCCGTTGGGTGCAATCTCTCGAGGGAGAGAGAGAGTGTGCATTCCATTCCAGACACAGGGAAATTGCCATGTGTATGTTGGCATACAAATGTGGAACGCTCAGGCTAGTTTGGATTCTCTAATGGTGATGGGTTTCCGCATGACAACGGCTGATCAGAAAAAAAATTACTTTTGAAAAAAAACTATCTATTTGGAACCCTCGCTACTTGCAAAAGAGTTGGTTATCGGTTCAGGTCCATGTTGAGAATCGCGCTGTAGGGAAAGCACTGTAGAGCAATGGAAATGCCATTCTTCAGACAATACTAGGTCTGATCTGCCTGTCCAGGTGAATGTTACAGATCCTGTGGCACTATTTAAAATTCAAGGGAGTTTCTCCTGAATAGAAACTCCTACCGAAGTCCCGTAGCTCAGTGGTTAGAGCACTTGCCTCGCAAGCGAGAGGACCTGGGTTTGATTCCCGGCCAAGGCAAAATGTTGGGCAAGTTTCCTTACTCCACACACACAGCTCTGTTTACTTAGCAGTAAGTAGGAACCCAGTTGTTAGCCGATTGGCGGATCGCTTTTCCGGGGGTAATATATCCCTTAAAAGAAATAAATAATAATAATTTGGTGATTTACTTTATATTAGGTAAATCGACAGCAACAACAAATTACATTTTTACAGCGCCTTTCACGTCTCAGGAGGATGGTCCGAGGCGCTGGACAGTCAGGGAGCCTCACCCGAGCTGGTGGTTGGGATCAGGAGGGGTGGAGGGCGGGAATTTAAGAATTTAGAATCAGTTAAAACGAGGCAATCAATTTTTATTTAACACAAATCACAACGGTGCACGCCATACATCAATACGAAGCAATTTCCATTTACGTAAGAGTCTTCCACACTGAGGCAACATCTCAGTGCAACAATGTGTGGCGGGCACACAAGCTGCATGTTGACATGAGGACCCCAGATTGCCTTCGGAGTCCTGCTGGAGCTTAACCAGCTAACGATGATTCACCAGAGTCACAGAGTCAAAGGGTTGTTAGTCGATTGGCGGATCGCTTTTCCGGGGGTAATAATTTCCGGGGGTAAAAGAATTTGGTCAGTCAGTCCATGACTGTTTGTGGGACACTACTGTCCGCAATTGACTGCTGTGTTTCGCCCCCAAAAAATATATGTTCAATTCCCTTTACAGTATGTTCTGTGAAGCACTTTATGACGTCTCGAATACGTGATAAGGCGCTATATCAAATGCAGGGATTGTTATTATTTTCGAACATGCTGCTTACCTGGTTGATCTATAAGAAAATCCAATATATAAAACCAAAAACAATAATAAATTGGTCATTTTCAATCTACGACTGTTTGTGGGACATTGCTGTGTGCAATTGGCTGCCGCGTTTGCCCACATATATACTGTCAATTCACTTTAGTGTGTTCTGTGAAGCGCTTTGGGATGCCCTCCCGACATGAAAAGCGCTATATCAAATACAAAGATTATTATTATTAAATTGGTCATTTTCAATCTACGACTGTTTGTGGGACATTGCTGTGTGCAATTGGCTGCCGCGTTTGCCCACATATATACAGTCAATTCACTTTAGTGTGTTCTGTGAAGCGCTTTGGGACGTCCTCCCGACGTGAAAAGCGCTATATCAAATGCAAGGATTATTATTATTATAGTCCAGTGATAATACTGTAATTCAAACTGCGCATAAATGGGGTCGAATTGTGTGGCTCATTTTATTTTGGGCATCGAGAGAAAAATACCATTTGATATTTGAATAATATTTGGAGCCTTTTCCATGCTACTCCGAAGAACTTCATCTGGGCCAACCGAGCAGAGGCAGTGGGTAGTGGAGTGGGGGGAGAGGGTAAGCAGATCGGAGAGGCTGAGGATGGCCACATAGTCCTTTGGACCACAGTTCAGGAGGAGACTTTAAGTTGCAATCAGGCTACCTTTGGCAACCCACCAGCTTGCCGTCTAGTGAGGCCAAGCCGATTGGCGCAGTTTTGATGGGTCCGTTCACCCAATATACGCTGTCAGTGTCTGTGGCCATCTGCGGGTGTGTATCAGCCCAGCAAGGACATGCTGGATGTTCTCATTGTGGTGCCTGTCGATTAGTTTCTGATAGACCAGGTGTCTCCAGAGGCTTCCAAGAAACATTTCCAGTTCAGCTCAATTATTGCAGGTCACGACGGCATAAGAAAACCACAAGTTCTAAAACGCAGGTGGGAGTATTTGCGCTTCTGTTCACAGTGGCTTTCTGGCAGTTGTAAGTTTCCTTGAAAGTTTCGCTTTTCGATTAGTTATGAGTGGTTTGAGTGATAGTAGATTCGGTATTCAACACAACAACTTGCATTTTGCAAAGAGCTCTTCAAGCAGACCAGCTTCTCAAGAGTGTCGCACAATGGCAAGGTTCGATAGTGAGCAAGAGGGCAGGGGTAGGTGACACTAGGCACAGTCAAAGAAATAACTCTTAACTGAATTAAATGAGTTCAGATGTTTGTTTTTGGATCTATAGCTGTTGATGTTTTACAGGGCAATAACATGAAACAGAATATTGGTTTAACTGAATATTATGACCATGCTGACATCTGGAATGGAGTTTACTTTGGCTTGAACGTCTGTGTATTCAGTGTGTATATGGGATCGTGTCGCTCCTGTATTAATAATTATGTAAAACAACACACGGTGGTTTGTATTTCTAATCACTGGAAGTCTGTGTGAAGTAGGCAATCATTTGAGTGCTTACAGATCACGATTATACTGTGATCGCCGCGGTGGATATTTTGCGAAAGTAAATATAAGCGATGCTGTCGAAAAGTTAACAGTTTCCAAAATATCAAAGAAAAATTAACCACATGGAAATTTAAAAAGAAAAAGATGATATCATATTAAGTGTCCCAGTTTTATCCCTGTATGTGGTGGATTTCATTTACAACTGTCGTTGGCAAACTGTGTTTCTATTCACTGGTTGCCTCTCCAGAGGAACACACACTGTAGGTTGAATACATACCAGCCGCTGTGTATTAGCAAGAACCCATTTCCTTTGCAGTGCTGCAGAACTTGCCAATTTTCGATGTGATATTCTTCCATTAGGAAACTGAAAATGTGCTTAGTAACGTCGTTCAGCACATAGTGGTAACCCAACAAAGCAAACCTCAGCTTTGCAACACGCCATCGATCCTCATTTCTCCTGCTGTCTCCTACCGTTGCATTTCACGCGCACATTCAGCTATTTCTTTTTATGTAAAGAAAAACACCGTAAAAACGAACTCACTGAACACAGACGCAACAGCCCAGTCGGAGATCTTAAACGTTAAAAAAAAGCCGTTATAATCATAAATTTGGAAAAAAAACAACACTTGTGCACAGAAATGGGAAGCCCCCCAAAAAAGGAAGAAAAAACATATCAGGAGATCCTTTCTCTTTTTATTATGTTGAAGCTCCAAAATTGTTTTACATATGCCCAGGTGAACACGGAAATTAGGTGAGCTGTTCCTTAATGATACAAATCTAAACATTTCAGTGTAAAATAGTTCTTTTGTGCAATCACCTGACTGACTCGGTCAGATGTGTATTTACAGATGTGGCAACTTTACAGGTATTTTTTTTTCCCCAAAACGCATTACAGGTCCCAAAGTCACAGTAAGAACAAATAAAGTAAAAACTAAGTTTAATCAGAGAACTCCCGTTCGAAAAAACACAAAAAAAAACAATATAAAGAGAAGAGAGACAGAACTATGCTCCTGCCGCTCCTTAATATGCAAGACGGAAAAGTGTTTACAATATAGGCTAGAACTAAAAATCCAGGTATCAGTGCAATTCAACGCAAACGTTACATAAAAAGAACAGCTTCTGTTGATTTGGGTGAGGGGGAGAGGGAGGGAATGGGGGGGGAAGGGAGTGGCTATTCCGAGCTTCCCAGATTATCGTCTGCCAGAAAATTGTCACCCAATATGAAAATCTGGGAGTTAAGACACTGTACTGCACAAAGTGACAAGTGTCGGACATGCGAGGCTTTCCTCACTGGATTACGTCCCAGATTGTTTTGAACAAATAGGAATGTCTCTGCAGTATTCATGGTCTGGCTACAAGGTGATGTGATCAACTCAAGCCATCTAAACCTGCCCTGAAACTGAAACAGAACAAATTCCCTCTATTCTTCTACCCTGTGCCCTTCATCGCTACTTAGCTGTCGCGTCAATCAAGTGTTTCACAAAGTTAGTTGTATAATCAACATCGACAGCCAAACTGCACAATTTGCTTCCATGCTTGAAAAGACATGTTATCTTGTGATAAAGACATTCGCCCTGGTAAACTTATACTAAAAAAAAGACAGGTTTTTTTCATAGATATTATTTTTTAAAAAAAGTTATGTGCAGGTTTTACTTAAATGTCTGTAATAAATAACATTTTTTTTACAAAGGCTCTCTCTCCCCTGTACTGTGGTTTAACAAGTCAGTACAGCAGTGAAATACGTTAACTGGCTTCATTACAGAAGGGCTGAAACGTAAACACAGGGTCCGGGAAATATCCTAAACTTTGCAATCTTTGTACATTGCAGTATATTTCTTCAACTTATCAGCATACAATAGATTCCTAATTATTGCTCCAGCACCTCTGTGGCATGCAAGTCATAAAAATTGCACAAATCAGCCTTATTTCAGCTGATCTCTGCAGATTAAAACATCTGGTGGGGGGAGGGGGGGGAGGGGGGGCTTTAAGGATGGTGAGAATGCATTAACATTAGACCTTTCTCCCTCCCCACCCTTCACATTTACCCAAAACTGCAGTACCATATACAATTATATATATATATGTATTTATATACAGTATATATATATATCAAAAGCATTCATCCCTCTGGTAACAGCCTTTGAATCAACACCTTGACCATCTTTAATGTTCGTTAGGTGCATTGTCTGACAGTAACTATCAATGAGCTGCTCTCGGTTGCCGTCGGAAATTGTGTCTTAAAAAGAAGGGAGTCACTGGTGTTGGTGGATTCTCTTTCAGTGTTTCCTTTTTTTTTCTCGTTGTTTGTTTTCATAATCCTATTCACAACTATACTTCAATGAAGTGAAAGGCAATAAGTCAAACTGACAGCAAAGAGAGACGACTTTTACCTCCAGTTCACTGCTGTAGGACACCGCTGACTTTGAACGCAGTTGATGTGCCTTTCCTAATCTCACGCCGTGGCCTCCAACACACGCGCACACAAAACCTGAGGCGTGTCGAGTGGTTTCGAAGTAAAGCCATATCAAAAAAAAAGGAAAAGAGTACAGAATAAACAAGCGCAGTGTTTCTTTTTCTCTCCTCTCTCCCCCTTCCCCTCCCACCCCTCCCCTCCCGTCCTTTATTTATACACAGGTTCCTTGATGTTTTGGAGGAAGTTGCTTTCGGTTCCTAAAGGCTGAGGTCTTCTCTTTGCACTCGCCTGGCTTCTGTTGGGAGATGTCTATAAGTGCACTGGCTATGGCCAGACCTGCAAGTAGAAGAAATGAGAAATGATTTACTCAGAAAAGTATTAGCTTCATTGCGCACCAGTCGGTCACCTTTCTGCATAATATCACGCTGAAAGGACCATCCACTCGAACTCTAATGCAATGTATTCACTGTGGCATGTTGTTTGATTTCCATTAAATCAGGTCACTGGAGAAGATCATTTTTCAAAATGTCACACAAATCATCTTATGAAATCCACTTATTGTGGGTTTTTTTCCCAGCCCGGCACAGTTCCTTGTTATCAAAGCAATACAATTAAGTGAGGAACAATTCATTACTCAAGACTTCAGGTCTAAAGGAATTTCATTTACGATGTCAAGATGATTCACAGAAGCACCGGGCAAAGAAAATTTAAATCAAGATTAAGTTTAAGCCCTGGTATAAATACGGCGCTTAAAATGTTGACTGCAAGTCTTTACATTTCTTTCAGTTTTTGAATTGCATGCAGATATGAAAACGCACGGTAATTTTATAAACTCCCTGAAGCCGTTTTAAAACATTGAGGATTCAATAGTTAAGACAGTCCAATTTTCTTAAAGCACAAAGTGAAGTCAAGGGTACAGAGATTGGAGACCTTGGGTATTTGAAGAGATCGAGCCTGATGAGCCACAATATAAACTAAACTAGAAATTAGGATGTCTTTTTTTTCCCGCAGCTCAGCATTTTGTCCTTTGGAAACTTTGTTTCTTCCTTCCTTCTCTCGTGTAAGCTTTCTATCTCCCAGTATCTGTCCACTGGAGTGCGTTTCCAAGAACCCCGGCCATCCTTACTACATCTAACAAGGATCCATCCATTCACGTTTGAGCCTTGATTGCCAAGAATTGTCTGTTCAACTACGAGGCGATAATAATGAATAAATAATAATCCTTGCATTTGATATCTTCCTTATCGCATCTTCGAGATGTCTCGGAGCGCTTCAAGGAATGTTCTGTAAAGTGGAGTGACTGTACATTTTTGTGGGCGAGAGATCATAGCTGAATGGATTTTGCTGCAACCTTTATCCGCGCACACTTGTATTCACTCATGATTGAAGTGAGTTGAAATTCGAGATACGTATAGCAGCATAACACCGCACCCGTTTATGTTAATTCAACCCTTTCATACCGCTGGGCTCGGTCATTCCTCCGACGCCTGCAGATTTTCCTTAACGCACAGCGACCGGAAAGGAAACATCTTCAGAAAACTAAACATCAATCCAAAAAGGCTGAACGCGTGTCGAAAACATGGCAGCGTCTAACCGGATTCCTCAATAAGAAATTCCTTAAGAAAACGGAGCAGGAAGCTTCACATGGGAACTTGTCTCTGAGAATACTGTACGTTGCACTGAAGTGCAGCTTTTGTTGTTTCGGTGTGACGGATTTCCGGTATCTTTCACGAGAAGCAGAGTCCAGTGTGGCAGCGAAGAGGGAAATAGACAAATGCACGAAAGACGTCTCATCGAGGTGATAAGATGCCATATCACGTAATAATCCTTCAAACAAAACATAATAATAGTAATAATCTGGTCACTTCAATCCACGACGGCTTGTGGGACGCTGCTGTGCGCAATTGGCTGCCGCGTTTCATCCACAAAATACACAGTCCATTCACTTTGCAGTCTATTCTGTGAAGCTCTTTGTGACGTCTCGAAGACGTGATGTAAGGATTATTATTGTTGTAAGACAAAGCTTGAAGGGGGAATGGGGATGGGCCCGGGCAACGGGATTGAATGGGTAGGTTGCTCTTAGAGCTGGTGCAGACTCGATGGAACGGCTGAACGATTCTACTTCTGTTGCTGTAAATTTCTACCATTCGAGAAAATCCCATCAGAATTTACCACAACCCAACACAGAAGGCTATTTGCAGGTCAAAGCGCATACACTGAAGCCGGCGAGTGGACTCCAGTCAGTAGAACAGACCTGGCTGCGTCTTGAACAAGATAAAATGTAGCTTTATATAAAAAAAACTCGCTGCACGCCAATTTAAAAAGCTTTCTCATCTCATTTAAGAGCAATCTATTTTTGCTACTTACCCCACATCTCTGCCAATGCGCTCAATTTGCGTGTTGCAGGTGTCTGAAAGCTTACCTGTAAATTTCAAACCCTCTTTATTTGAACCAAATTTCCATCATATCCAATAAAGTCAGCATTTGCACGAGGCCAGGTCGAAATAAGTAGTCTGATGGCTGCCTTTCCTCATAAACCTCTGTTAAAGAGCAGCCCACGTTTCAAAACGGGCCTCAACTAATCCATACGTCAAACAAGTGTCCAATAACTCGGCCAGCGTGAGGATTATTATTGTACCTGTCACATTCCCACGAATGCAATTTCCAATTTTAAATATTTAGGGTAGGATTTTCCCTTAGGCGGGCACTAAAATATTACCTCCCGTGTTATTGGTGAGGCCCCATTTTCACTGCAGGAGCAATTACCTAGCTGTTACCAGGGGCGAGCCCCATACTACAATGCTGTAGTGTCCATCACGATAATATCGCATGCCCTTTACAACAGAATCACAACAACAACAACAACAAGATTCCATTTATAAAGCGCCTTTCACGTCAGGAGGACGTCCCAAGGCGCTGCACAGTTGGGTCATGACCCGAGCAGGGGGGAAATGGTCAGGGTGAGGAGAGGGAAGGGAGGGAGCGAGGAGGGGGAAGAGAGTCGAGAGGGGAGCTGAAGGCTCGGTCAAAGAGAAAGGTTTTGAGACCGGCCTTGAAGGAGGAAAGGGAGGAAGTGGCGAAGGCACTGGGGGATGGAGTTCCAGAGCCTTGGGGCTGAGAGGCTGAAGGCCCGGCCACCGATGGTAGGGCGGTTGGGGCGGGGGACGTGGAGCAGACCGGAGCCAGAGGAACGGAGGGTACGGGCAGGTAGGTAGGGGGATAGTAGGTCGGAGAGGTAGGAGGGAGCAAGGCCGTGAATGGCCTTGTAGGTGATAGTAACAGATAGTGACAGATAGTAACAGGGAAGGCAAGGTCAGAAGGTTTGCCCCCCAGCAAGGTAGGTAGAACAAATAAGACCTTGGGCTTGAATAATGTTTCATAATAGATTCCAGGTGGTATGGAATTTGATCTACTCTAGTGTTTGTGAGGAAATCTCTCAATTTTCTATCAACCCTTAAAAGACTGCTCGCCAGTGTGAACAACTCCGGAGTGACCAGTTCGAAAAGGGAGGACTTCAAGAGGGATTTAATTCCAATTCCAGGCAGGGCGAAACCTTGGGCAAGTTTCCTTACTCCACACAGAGCCTAATAATAATTCCTCCAAAACCAAAAACAATAATAAATTGGTCATTTTCAATCTACGACTGTTTGTGGGACATTGCTGTGCGCAAATTGGCTGCCGCGTTCGCCCACAAATATAGTCAATTCACTTTACAGTGTGTTCTATGAAGCGCTTTGGGATGTCCTCCCGACGTGAAAGCGCTTTTTCAAATGCAAGGATTATTATTATTATTAATTAAGGATAGGTAAAGAGGGAGTGAGGCGGAGGGTGAAAAGGCAGGGATTTCCAGAGGTCGGGATGCTGTGACTCAGGCACAGCCACCGATGGTGACATGGATGGACAGGCCGGTGGTAGTTGAGCGAAGAGAGTGGAGTGGACAGGTCAGAGATGAAATGAGGTGCTCGGCATTTGCAGGTGAGGGTAACCTGACTTATTGAGGCTCGGGAACTCATTCCAGGTACACACGCACTTCCGGCAGCAGGGCAATGAATTCTTTCACGCTCCTTTGAAAAACAAAATCACAAAGCACTCATTTTGCTCGCGATACGCAAAGCACCGCTAAACCGCATTGAAAAGTTGTATCGGATCCTTGGCTTTTGTACAACTGGAATGGGAGCATTTGATGAAATGCAAGCCTCCCTTGGGTGTGATTTGAGTCATCCAGTTTGTCCTCGAACAAAGAGCAGTAATGGAAATAGATTCTCGTTTGAAGGGTGCAGGAACACACACTAGCTTATTTCATACTCACTCAGGGCCAATTAAATTATTGAAGTCCTTCTATGCCTATTTGACAGATAAAGAGAGAGAGAGAAAGAGATGCATACAGAGATGAAGCACTCTTGGATCTTTTCTAGGGGTTAGTTTTTTTGGGCACTTTTGAATCGCTACCTTTGGATCGTTCGTTATTGCACAAAATTGACAGATGTGCCTTTATTTGCCTGTTACACGGGTAATTATACCTTTCAAATTCAGAGTGCGCTCCGGGTAAAGATTGTATAAATTGCACAGGCGTTAAAACGTGTATATTATGCAACGATATATTTTTGGAACACAAAAACTAAACATCAGCCTCAAAAGTGCTCGGGTCGATATGTCTTCCACGGTTGTCCAGAAGCCCAGAGAATAAGCGTCAAAGTTAGTCAATATTTAATCTACTAGTTTCAAACACGAAGCTAGCTGCAGGCTGGACCAGGGTGGTGACCGCTGCACAGGTTTGATTTGAAAGATTTATGGTTTAGTTCTCGCACATGCCTGCGACCACACACACACACAGGCGCGCGCGAACACACGCCACGCAAACAGGCACCACGTAAAAATGCGCATCACCCGAACACGCATCATACAAACGTGCACCTGTACGCACACAGACACGCGCGCAGTTCTGTTAGTAGGGTTGCCAGCTTTGTAGATAGTAATAATAATCCTTGCGTTTGATGTAGCGCCTCATCACATCTTCAAGAGATCTCAAAGCCCTTCACAGGATACACTGTAAAGTGAACTGACTGTATATTTTGTGGGCGAAACGCAGCAAACAATTGCGCACAGCAGCGTCCCACAAACAGCCGTGGATTGAAGTGACCAATTTATTATTACTAATTTGGATTTCATTCTCCTTCAGTTTGATGGTCCAACCCATCACAATGTAATTTAAATCACGCGCCCCACACTCTTTTGGTGAAAACGCTAACTGTGGAAAACGAATGAAATAAGAGCAGGAACGGGAGTAGGAGGCAATGGCAGGTCCAGGTACCATAAGATTCAGCCTCGCTCTGTGA